AGCTCTGTAGAAAATAATTTATAGGAGTATAAATCACTTTTAAACTTAGCGATAAAATCCTTATAAAAAAATATGTCATTTAAAATAAGAATACAAATAACTTTTGCCTCGGAGACATCTTGAAATTCTTAGCCAAACACGAGTTTAAAATAAAAATATGGGAAAAAGAATTAAAACAACAATAAAAAATAATATATTCGCCCATGTATGGGAAACCATGTTCAAGCGAACGTATTCACGAACAGGAGAATATTATTGCGCATTCGAAAAAACTCCCGAATAAGTTCATCGTGCTACACATTTTATAGGACTATAAACACAATTTTTTTGGATAAAAAAAAAAACAGGATATTTCAGTTCTTGAACATATGGTGTTTCACCAGGTCGTGATTTTCTATGGAAAAATCCGTTTTTTTCCTCGCCCCCTCCAGTGGTTCTGAAAAAGTAATTTTCTATTCTTTTTTTTGCAAATGTTTCACTTTACGTAGAATTTTGTTCCTGGAGAAGACCTGAAAAACGTACTATCATAATATTGAATAGATTTCGTGCAAACCTAACAATTTGTTTTGTTAGGTTTTTACGAATCCTATGTTTAACTATCAACCAATACAATACTTGAGACATGTACAATGACACAGAAAGATGAAAATAAACCCCCCTAGGCCCCCTCGCCTGACCCCTCATCTCCAATGAAGGTCGTGCATGCATCCCCTCCTACACACATGTGCCACCTATTTCCCGATTCTCGTTGCGATCCTCATCGCGATCCTCGTCAGCTCCATTACCATCCTCGTCCTCCTCCACTACCTCCGCCCCCCTCCCCCCCCATCCCCCCCCCTCCCCGTTTCGGATATTAAATTGTTGTGATGCCACTGCAATGTTGTCCCTGCAACGCTGCTCGCACTCATGAGTGATGGTGTGGCTGTCCTGTTGTCGACAAAGTCTCCCCGAGGATCTGTGAAGCCCCCGTCAAACCATGCCTCAATGGACAGTCATCAGACCCTCCCTCATCACCCCCCACTGCTCCCTGCACAGCGGTACTCGACTTGCCCCCCCGCGAAACCTGAAGCAAATATCTCCCTCCTAGATGCTGGTGATGGACATCGTCCTCTGCTGGGCCAATGTCTAGTGCTAGCTACAGTGGACCGTCTCGCCTGGCTCCAACGCTGATCCATGCGCTAAAACAATGAAGTGTCCACACCCAGCGCCCTCGTGTCTCTCTGCTTGTACGCAGCTCTGCCTGGAGAGTGCGTGGTGCTCAGACACACGGCCACGTGGTCAGGGGAGTGATACACAATTGCCCCGTAAGCAGGCGCTGCTACCGAAGCAGCTGAGGGCGATGTGAGACTACTGGGGCCCCATGAAACTAAATGCATGACCGACAACTCGCCCTCGCCCTCCAGGGAAGGTCCCTCAAAAATGTCGTGTCTTATGAGATCAGTTTGCATACACACCTCCAAGTCAGCTGCAGTCATAGCGCCATATCAAAGAGATCCTCGTGGCTGCTCTATGATCCTAGTGCGACTCCTCTGCGGGGCCGGTGCGGGGGTGGAAGAGGCGGCGGAGATATGCCTCCGCCCTCTACCAATGCATATGGCAAGCGACAACAGATCCTCATTGCGTCCTTCAAGCATATCCGTAATCTGTGAAGGATCTCGACCGTGTATCTCCGCTGCAATCTCCTCCATACACCGGAAACCTCAGCTGCCATCGCCGCCTCCTCAACGCTCTTTACCGCTGAGTGGCGTGGCACAACTTAAAGGGACTCTATCGCTCAGCGAACCAGTGAACTTCCCCCAATGTTCTCACCAGCTTGTTGCAACATCCCTCTACCTGCGGCTCCCTTCACTGCACCTCCCTCCGCCGTGCCTGGCTCTGCGATCCCTCCATATGGCAGAGACTGGATGCTGATAGACTCGCGTCTCTCCCCCTACAGGTTCCCACTCAGATCCCGTGCAGATAACACCTGTATGTATTGTACGGAAACTCCAGGCATCTGACACAAGTCACCCTCCTCCAGCCCTGCAAACTGTCTTGCCTCTAGCTCCTCTAGCCTATGCGACCTCGACACCTCTCCCTCCTCCAAAACCCCAGTCTGAGACTGATGTGTCACCACCTTTACATCACCCTTGTGCGCAATAGGAGATCTAACCTCAGCCTCCATGTTACATGCTCATCCTGTGGAATAACTATCTCCGTTTCGCTAGACGAAACATCCACCTGCTGAATGTCCTCCACATGTCCCTCTGCTGCGGCCTCCGTGGGAAGAGAAGCCCGTCCACCTGACGACACACCCAACAACGTGTCATTCTCCCTTGCCGGCTCCTCCTCCGCCATCCTGCACGCAATCTCCTCAGTCCGTGCACATGAATGTGCCAACTGAGTCAATGATGCATTGCCCTCCATCCTGTTGCGCCTCTCCTCCGAAGTTTTCCTGGGAGGTGACACGTCCTCGACGCGTCTGTAATCCCCCTCATATCCTCCATGCCGTGATGACGATGCACCAAGCTGAGGCTAGCTCTCGATGCATACGAGGTGTGAAAGTTGCTGGCTGAACCTGGCTGATATGTCCAAACACATCGGATTCAATTACCGCGACGCTTTGGTGGCCTTGAGAGTGAGTCTCACGATGGGGCGGCCCCAAGTCAGGGAACGGGTATGATGCACACCATCACCGCCCGGCCCCCGCACCCTCCACATCCCCGTTGGCCTCAGCCTCGTCTCCCTCACCACGACACTGATCCATGCTCGGTGCCCTACAGTGAAGCTCCTCACCCGCTCCAACCACGTGCACTCCACCCGGTACCCACTATTGCTGTGGATGTTTACTAGTGTCTGATTAGTCACTTGAGGACACCCCTTCTCCTGCTTGAAGTGCTGCTCTATCGATGCTCTGCATTCCTGCCCGGCGCTCCACGCCGCTCCCGCTCCGTTGATCTCCGTCCAAACACGGTGTGCCGCTCCACGTGGCAGCACACACTCTCTTTCTCCACCTCTTGCTCGCACATGCCCGTGCGTATCAGCGAGCACATGGACTCTCTCTCTCTCTCTCTCTCTCTCTCTCTCTCTCTCTCTCTCTCTCTCTCTCTTT